TAGCATCTCACAAACAAAAATTACACCACAAATGGCAAGGCAAATAAATAGAAATATTCAGATAAAATGGCAGATGAAAACCTAGCAAGTAGCAACTCAATCACTTCGTAGCAATAAGAGGACATGTTTTGTCCACTGTAATCTACATATGGAACAGCAATAGTCCATAAACAAATCATTCATTAAAAAACACTTTGTCACTTTGATCTTCACATAGATCAAATATCCAATCGATTCTAAACGATACAATTGTTTTAACTTGATTGGAATATAATATCAAATATAATGATAATCGCGACAAGGAAAACCACAACTTCAAATATCATCACCATTTGAGGTAACCTTAAAAATGATAGAGAGCTACATGAAAACAATACAATCAATCTGGCAACATATAAAATCTTCAATTCCAGCAAAATTGGAACAATTTAAATAAACAAGAACTGTACTGGGTAAAAAAATCATTTACAGAACCAATGACAGTGTTGATTAATCATGGTACAATATAATAGGTCTCTCAACTTCTGAACAAACCATTGAAGAAGTTCACAGTTCTACATTTACTAGTTTGAGCCAAAGGCAAATCAACCATCCCATTGATAATTGACCGGAAGATTAGCCGAAGCTTGAGTAGTAAAGCAATGTCCTTTAATCCCAAATGAAACATTCCACTATAAACAATAAAGAAAAAAATTAAAGCAACAAAAAATTGACAAAAAAAAACCTAAAATTGGAAGCTAAAATCATCCAAAATCTACAAATAGAAAAGTTTCTTTGTAAAATAAGATTACCCTACATGAAAGCAAATATGAAATATTACCAGTGTTTCATTTCTATACTACTTCATAGGTCTGAACCGAATTGAGGCTTCTTCACCTTAATTTCTACACAAAAACACTATAATTAATATTACCGTATACGTGTCTGTGCGTATACGATTGAGAGTAAAAAAATTACCGCGGACTCCTCTTCGCAACGCGGAGACTCGGGGGGCTTCGATTAAATTGAACTTCCTCCTTTATTCCCTATTGGGTTTCTCTTGAAAGCGCCCAACCCAGTCTGTAGTGTCCTTCTCCTCCGTTAAAGAAAAAAAAAACAGATGAATAAAAGTCCCTACAGCTAAGTAAGACAGATCTCGAATTATATTTAGCAGTGTAGGAAGTGTTACCTCGACTCCGACAAGCCTTCAGTACGCTGTAAAACCGATCTCCATGTGAGGAAAAGGGAAATGAACGGGAAAGATGTAAAAGGCTGAAACAGTGAAACGTGTGGGAAAAGTGAACCATTGAAGCCTTTATTGAAGAGAGATATTTTGTAAATAGTAAAACGGTAAAACGGGGAAGCAAAATACGTCAAGAATGAACAGTGCAGGAAGTATCCCCTCTTTTAATAGAGTAGGGATTACAAACTATGTAATCTGACTATTAGGGTAATAACCAAACTCGAAACTATGACAAAATCATAAAGTACATGGAAATATGACAAAATTGTGATCCTATTTATGAATCCAAACCTTATATTACTACGTGGATGGTAATTCTTTCTACTTTTCGATGAATAATGACATGTTGGACTCGAAGGAATCAATTGGCAAACAAAATTTCCTACATAAATCCCCATCAAGTTCAAGAAGTTGGTTTACCAATTCAGATCAATAGGTTTATTCAACTGAGAAGTCAAAGAATTATTCTATATCAGAGCTCGTCTGGTGCATCTTCACTTTCTTGACTGCTGCTTCTGTCCCACAACTTTCAATTGCATTAATCTCAGGCACAGTTGAAGAATTTTCAATGGTTTTCTCCGTTTGGTTTAGTTTCTTACTCAAATGAGAATGCCAGAATTCTTGATCTCATTATCAGTTCGACCCGGAAGTCTACCGGCAATCAAGGACCACCTATCCACCCAAAATTTACCAATTAATCAAGCATTGTTTAGTACTGAATACATAATTCATGGTTGTAGCGGAATGGACCTTCGATTTGGTGGAATCTGGGCTCAGTTTAATTTACTAATATCAAACACAATCAACCAATTTCTCCAACCCACAAATACTACTATAACTCTTTGGTTGTCACTTCTAATATACCCACAAGGAACACAAGATAGTGGTGTTTGCAAAAGGGGCCACACAGGCAGAGAGAAGGCAAGACAAGGCATGAAAAGGGAGATGGTAAAAAGGCAACCACAGTTTCTCTCTTTCATTCGCAAAGCACACACGATTTCCACACTACAAAATGGGAGTGTGTGTGTGTGTGTGTATATATTACGCTATAATATCAATTGGGNAAAGCACACACGATTTCCACACTACAAAATGGGTGTGTGTGTGTGTGTGTGTATATATTAGGCTATATTATCAATTGG